GGCGACACACACTCTTCATCAGACAGCATTTCCTAGTGCACGGTGCAGCCACTAATGCCCCAGGCCCACACCTGCGTCCATTTCACAGCCTCGTGAAGGACAACCAGGGCAGCCTAGGCAGTGTAGTAGGAGCACACCACACCACACAACATCCAAAGCATGACAAGATACCGTGGCAGGGGAGCAAAGCACAGGCTCTGGGGTCCGACAGTCAGGGTTGGGTGCCCCCTCCGCACTTATCTGCTCGGCAACCTTAGGCAACTTACTTCTCCCCCAAGTCTTCCCTGACTTGTAGTGATAGTACCTACTTCATAGGGCTCTTCAGGGAATCGAAAGTGATAGTATTCGTGAAGTGTTTAGCAGAGTGCAAAACCAAAGAACCATAGCAATAGAATGTATTTACTTCTAACGAAAATGTGCCCGAGTTAAAAGAGGAGAAATAAAAGCTGTCAGATTTTGTCTTTGTTTTTTTTTTTTTTGGCCGTGCCGTGCGGCATGCGGGGATCTTAGTTCCCCGACCAGGGATCGAACCCATGCCCCCTGCACTGGGAGCGTGGAGTCTTAACCACTGGACCGCCAGGGAAGTCCCAAAAGCTGTCAGATTTTGAACACATAGTTCCCTGTGGGGCAGAAGTTAGCATCTTGGGGAAGCTATTAAAAGTATGTAAACTCTGTGAGGCAGAGATCTTGCCTGTCTTACTCATCACTTATCTCCAGGCCTTTATGCAGTGCCTGTTCCATAGTATGGCTCAATAGATGATGTATGGACGGGTGAATGGATGGATGAATGAATGTGTGGGTGGGTGGATGGATGGATAGATGGACAGATGAGCCACAACACAAAAGTGCTGTCCTTCAGTTACAAAGAGGACTGCCACTGGAGAATTGATCTCCTGTGCCACTCTCTCAGGGAACAGCACCTGCCAGCAATCATGCCACCTAAGACAAAAACTTGGGTGTCACTTTGACTTCTTTCTTACTCACTCCTTACAACAAACCAGCCCTGTCAGTTCCACCTCCTGTATTTTAGCTTGTGAATCCCTTCTCTTCTCCTGAGCCCTACTGTCACTACCTTTGTTCAGGTCCTTCCCAATTCTCTCCTGGGTTTCTCCTGAGTTTCTACACCACCTAAAAACCATTCTCCAGGCCTGCAGTCTGTACCCACCCCTTGCAGTCCACTCTCCAGACTTGGGACAGAGTGATCTTTAAAAAGCACAAGTCTGTTCAGGTCACTACTGCCACCCCCTATCACCACCCCCACTTAAGGATGGTCCATGACACACTACAGACTCTAAGATAAAGCTCAAACACCTACACATGGCATCCCAGCTTTTATAATCTTGCTCCTATCTGCCCTTCCAGCCTTATCTGGCCAATCCACCCCTCCTTGAGTTCCAGATCCCCTCTAGCAGGTCTATGCTCTCTCTTACCCTGTGCCATTGCTTGGGCTTTTCCCTCTGCCTAGAATGTTCTTCCTCCACCTTCCCTATTCCTTTCCACATCCTTCGGAACTCATCATCCACCTAGGATGAGTGGTGGTCCCACTAAGAATTGGATGTCCCTCCTCCTAGGTGGTCCCAGTGCTTAGCACATGACCCTATGATCTGTTTCCTTGGCTGCCCTTCCCAGGTGTCTGGCCCGTGGAGTGCTGTGTTTTGTTCTCCATTGCACCTAGTACACCCCATCTAGTCCTGGCACAACGAATATTTCTTGAATCGATAACTACTTTGTCTCACACCAAACGTGCACTTTCTCAAAAGCGTATTTGCAATCAGCATCACGTCTTGGACAATTATGTGACCAGTCAAGATAATTAACCAGGGATTAGGGTGTGGTCTGTGACTCTGGAAAAAAATCTTATTAGATTAGACATGTTGGGAACATGTATTTTTAACCAAAAGTCAAGACACATGATCTGACAAATATGATCACATATTTTTCTGTCCCAGAAAAATTTGAATGTATAATGTCTACGGCTACCCAACCTGATCTGTCATTTAACCTTATTATGTTATCCAAACATGCCAACTCAAAAGACATTGAAATTATAACTGATAAGTAAGTAGCTGACAGTTTTGGTGAGTTTATCATGCAGCAAGCATTATGGGAAGTGCTCTGCAGTCATCCCATTTAATCTTCTCAACTACCCCTTGAAGTGGATCTTTTTATTATCTCCACTTTACAGATCAGGAAACTGAGGCTTAGGTTACACAGCCAGCAATGGACACTTAACCAGCAATGGAATAGCAGTCTGTTTGATCCTCTCAGTCATTCTGTGATACTGACCTAACCATGACCTCTTAACCTTATTAGATCATCAGAAGAGCCACTTCTGGGCAAAAATAGCTTGTGGCTTCTGGAAATTTTTATTAAAACTCTAAATCTCCTGGCAATGACTTTCAAAAGTCATGATTCAGACCAGCAGTGATATTTCAAGTGGAATCATAATGCGGGTCTCCTGGCTGCAGAGGTGCCTTCACTGCTGCAGAGGCATCCTCAACCTTGACATGTATGACAATCTGTGTTTTTCCTATTACTGGGTCTTTTGCCATCACTGTCTATTGAAAGGCACTGACCCTCATTCTGTCCTCCCTGCGGAACCCTCTCTTTCAGGGTTAATCGGTCTGTCCTCTTCCTTGGGTGTCATTTCACTGGGATCTAGAGCAATGTTTCTCAAAGTCCTGACAGCTGACCACCTGCATAATGATCACCTGGGCACTCATAAAAATGCGTATTCCTGGGCCCCGCCCCACAGCTCTCACACAGAATCTCTACAAATTGGACCCCAGGAACTAGCATTTTAATCACATTCGCCAAGTAATTCTTACGAATACTAATGTCTCAGAACCACAAATGTAGTCTCCAGATCCTCACAGCTCCAAGTGTGATCCCTGGACCAGCGTTAGCAGCTTATTAGAAAACAAGGAATTCTTATGCCCAAATCCTGAATGACTGAATCAGAATTTGCATTTCAATGAAATCCCCAGGTAGTTTGTATTCACATTACTGTGCATACAGAGAACTAGTGATCAAGCAGTGTTTCCTATGCATATCATGGCAGGCATAGAAAACAAAAGCATTTGTTTGGCATTTCTGTCACACAGAAGAGAATGCCAGCTGTGGCATGGGGAGGGTGGTGCTCAGCCTGCCCCAGACCCCAACCTGGCCACCCTGAAGGCTGAGGAGATTGGTATCTCAGGCGTACCTGTGCCGCAGCACGCTGGTTGAGAAGCAGTGGTCTACTTAAAGCACACCCAGTCCTTCTAACTTTCTTCATGAGCATAACTCCATAAATCTTGCTTATTCTTTTTTTTTTTTTTTTTTTTGCGGTACGCGGGCCTCTCACTGTTGTGGCGTCTCCCGTTGTGGAGCACAGGCTCTGGACGCGCAGGCTCAGCGGCCATGGCTCACGGGCCCAGCCGCTTCGCGGCATGTGGGATCTTCCCGGACCGGGGCACGAACCCGTGTGCCCTGCATCGGCAGGCGGACTCTCAACCACTGTGCCACCAGGGAAGCCCTGCTTATTCTTATTTCCTTCATCATTTGTCATTTCTTCTCCTGCATACCAAGAGTCAGAAATCTTCCCAACTAGGTCTTAGAACTAGGTCTTAGAAATCTTCACGCAATGGGAGGACACAGTCTCATCTTCAAGTTCTAGGTGAACTCTTTGAGAAATGTAGAGAGAAAAGTTTTGTCTGTTATTCTAAACAGTATGACCTAAGGAATACTAGGAAGAAATAAGAGCCTTCTTCCCTTTGAAGAATGCTCCTTTCCTCTTAGTCCACAGATCTGAGGATGGAGGATCCGCAACACGCAGAGCGGCATCCTCTCTCCTGAAGAGTGTGCCAAGAAGAATGTGATTCTTTTAAATCCTTCCTCAGCAGAATCTGCCAGCTTATGAACTGGACAGTGTCCCTTCTCTTAGCCAGCCCCTGATAAGGGGATGACAGTTGGCATGGAAGGAATGGAATACCTTCAGAAACACTTCCTGGTGAGACCATCTGATCAGAACGACCAAGTGTCAGGACACACCATCTGACTTCGCAAAGCTCCCGGCTGCGTGGGAACCCCATTGTGTTTCTTTTTTTCCCCCAATAAGGAAAATGTTGAAAATTTTTAAAGTTCAAAATAGTGAGCTCTTACTTTGAAGCAAATAGAACAAGGATTGTCATAGCCTAAGCAAACACAGTTGAGAAAGAAGTGGGGGGACCTATTGCTAGCAAACAACTCGCGTTTTTTCTTCTCTTTCCACCTTGACTGCAAATCTGTGTCCAATTCTCTCCACTCTGCTTCTCCCATTCAAAGCACAGGCAAAGAAGCACACATTTTAGCTGGTTTAACGTTGGGCTGTTCCCCCTCTGTCCTGAGATTGTACATCCCTCAAGTCTCAAAGGGCTGTCTGATCGTCCTTTTGTACCCCAGCTATTGAAGTTCCTCTGCGTTAGTAGTAGAAAGGACAGTGACCAGAGCATGCTGTCCCTTGCCGCCTCTGGTTGACTTTCATGGAACTCCTCCCTTGATCCAGATACGGAGGCAAAGCAGGCCTTTCTCCTTCTCTGACCAGGAAGTTCACAGATCTGTTGGCAGTTCACCCAGAGTAGCCGTGATGTCTAAGAAATAAATGGGTTTTTCTCTAAGTTCATAGCAAGAACGGTTAGTTAAAAATGTTCCATCCCTGATCAGCTCGGTGCTTTGTGACCGCCTGGAGGGGTGGGATAGGGAGGGTGGGAGGGTGGGAGGGAGGGAGACGCAAGCGGGAAGAGATATGGGAACATATGTATATATATAACTGATTCATTTTGTTGTGAAGCTGAAACTAACATACCATTGTAAAGCAATTATACTCCAATAAAGATGTTAAAAAAAAAAAGAAAATGTTGCATCCCTGATCCGATTAACAAGTACTGAAAACATAAGACTGGGGACACCGACAGCAAAGCTGTTGTACACGACCATTTCAAACACAGAACACTGAGTCATCTTTCTGCTTCGTGGTCCAGGATGAAGAACAAGCTGTGGTACTTTGAATTCGGCACCTCAGAGACCTTCGCAGCCACCTGCAAGAAACTCCACGACCACATAGAGTTGGAGGTGAGTTCCCAAGGCTTGCTGGACCTTGGTTCTGCTCCTGGACTGTTACGCACCCTCAGGACATGTCCTGGAGCGTCCTCAAGAGGTGATCCCAAGTGTAGTCCATTGTACATCCATCCTGTTCCCAACACATCCACAGCCTCACTCCCAGGAGGCTCCGGTCACGGGGCCTGCCTTTCTCGGCCCGTCCAGACCTAGAGGCCCAGTGGACTCAGGGCCGCAGTCCCTTCCGGCCCTCAGCCCTCTCCCCACTGTGGCCTTGAAATTTCCCCTTTTCCGAGAGGTGAAGGCAGGTGCTGCCCACGCAGGGAGAGGAGCTGCTGTGAGGGTAGAGGCAATGTCCCAAGCCTGGTAAAAGTCTGGGAGCTGATGGCCACAGGGCTGAGGGGTCTGGGGGTTGAGGCCGGAGGTGGCCAGACATCGCCCAGCTCGCCCGCCGCTGCTTTCAAGGAGCTGACTCACAGGCACCCAGGGCTGGCTTCATGGGCATGCAGCCTGCACAGTCGCTCAGAAGGACCCTTGGTTTAATGCTCTTCTGACACTGTCTTGAAATTCTTGATGATTTTTTAGCAAAGGGCCCTGTATTTGCATTTTGAACCAGGCCCCTCAAATGACACAGCTGACCCCACTGGTGCACTCGTGTTTTCCTCACTGGGCTGACACTTGGAGCAGCCTGACTCAGACACTTAGCTTGTCAGCTTCCCTTCCCGGCGGAAGCTGCCCACTTCCCACCTCTCACCCCGCATCTGCTGGGCTGCTCTCTTGAGGTCTTGTCACTTCTATGAAAAGGTCTGCTTGGTCTCTGGCCACCTGAAAGCCCAAACTTCTCTGCACACCTGCTGCGGGACCTCAGGCCCATCGGGTCCCTTGCCCATAGTTCTCAGTTTACCAACCCGCACCCCCGCCACCAACCCCTTCCCATGGGATTCAAGGCCTGTAGTCTTGTTTTCACTTGAGAAGAACAAGTGAAAGGCCGTCAGAGAATTCAGCCAGGATGGGCTCCTCCCGGCCCATGGGCTTTGTCCCTAAGCCTGCAGTAGCAGTCAAGGGGGTCCCGGGCATCCCTTGGGGGAGGAGCCCTTCGCCTGAAGCAGTGTGGGAAAGCCCTGCCACTCCCTGCAGAAGGGAGCCTGCATTCACAGGGAGTTTTCACAAACAAAACACAAAGCCAGAGATTCTGTGCTTCTCTTTGACTCATCTGCCTGTCTCTCCCCAGCGGTTGCCGGGTTACCAACCCCAGGGTGGGAGGCGCCGCCCCAGCTAATCCCCTGAACTTTTAGCCAGCTCAGTCAGAGGGCAGAGAGGCCCAGGAGCCGGGGGCACATGTCCCCAGGTGGTACCACCTCCACCGGGGAAAGGCTGAGGAGCCCGCTGTGCCCGCTGTACTCTATGGATACGTAAATCCACGGCCAGGGAGCTGCAGGGAAGGAGGAGAGGGCTGGGCTGGAGACTGAACGTGGCTGGAGCTACGTGTGCATTTTTGCTGTTGGCATGATCATCTGCTGGGGTGTCTTTAAATACACCCCAAGTGAGGGACAGCCCTGGCCTAACCACTGCCAGCTGCAGACACACAGCGACTGCTTGTTCTCCCTGCAGCTGGCCTTGAAACTGTGCCCAGAATAGAGCAGCTCAGCTCCCCTGCCTCTGTGGGCCCCGCCCTCCCAGCTCCCAGCCGGCAGCACCCTGGCCCCCTCTGAGTCCAATACTGAGTGGCTCTTCTTCAACCACAGAGGGGGCTGGTGGCCTCTGCAGAGGGTGAGGGTGTTCACACTGTGGGTCGTTGGGGGCTTTGAGAGCACGTCTTATTTTCCTTAGCTCCCCATAATGAGTCTTTAGTATTTATTCAGGACGCTAAGGATGGGGGGCTCATATGACAGGCAGCTTCTCACAGCCCGGAGGATTTGGGGCAGGCATCATTCTGTATCCAGGGAGCGGTGGGTGGACAGTCCTGGGTCTTGTGATCCAGAGGAGGCGAAAGAGACAGAAGGGGGAGGCGTGTGAGTGACAGGTGTTAGGAGGCTACAGGGCACCACAGGTAGATGTGAGAGCATCAGGGGCCTCAGGAAGAGCAGTAAGAGAAGGTATGTTAAGTGACCTTCTACATGTGGTCACTGCACACAACAGCCCAGGCCTGGGAGGACCAGCACACTCATCAGTTCAAGGTCAGAGATCCCGGGAATAACCGCACGCAGGTATTTATACTACATACCATCGTTTCCAAAGCCCTACCACAGCCTTTATTCCAGAATCACACAACAAGCAGTGAGCTAAGTAGGCCAGGTATTCTTATCCCCTCGTCACAGAAAGCAAGCTGAGGCACGGAGGTTTAGAAAGATAAACAGAAGAGAGAGAAAAGCAACAAGGGAAGAGGGGGAAAAAATCACAGGCTCTGACTGCCTACTGTAATGTGTCCTCATTTGATACAATAACCCAGTGAGGCAAGTATTATCATATTTTGTTAAATGAGGAAACTGAGGCTCAGATACATTAAGTAACTTGACCAAGATTTCATTGCTGGAAACTTGTAAGACAGGAGATTTTAGGCATCCTGGAAGGAGTTAACTTAGAACAAAATAAATAGAGATGGACCTAACAAGCGCTAGAAATTCGGCAAGTTTTTCAGCATGGGCGCACTGTTTCTTCCTCCTTTACTGAATGTGAGACCACTTGGTCCCCTCTCAGCTGAGGCAGCTGGGCAGGTCTGCTGAGCAATGCTTTAAGAGAACAGAGGGCACAGTCCTACTGCTCGTTTGAGGAAGGAGGGGGCTCAGGCTGGACAGGAGGAGAGTCAGAGAGGGAAACTGCCTTAAAGTTTACTAAAGGTTTTCCCACACAGCATCTCATTTTATTTTGATCCACAGAACATGCAGGGAAGATATTAATGTCCTCACTTTATGGGTGAGGAACCTGAGGCTGAGAGGTTCAGTGACTTGAGAAAGGGCACAAAGGTAAGGGGTTCAGGGGAACAGATAGGAAAGTCTATTTCTAGTTTCATGTCTGTGTGTCACCTTGGTAAAGCTTGGATGGTGAAACTTAAAGCTAAAATGAGCTTATGCAGGGAAGGTCTCCACTGAAGGTCTCTCACAAGGAATACAGCCTGTTTTTCAGAGGCTTGTGGCCTACTGAGGCCTAGGACACTTGGTCCCTTCTCTGAAATAAAGCTTACAGCCCAGTTGACAGAACATACAAGAGCTGGTTAATATAATACTTACTTAACTAGTGCTAAGGAAACTGGATCCTGGGGCCTTGAGGAGCCACGTGAGCAATCACCCTGGACACTATTTTGGGGTCAAAGACTAAGGCTGGGGAGAAGGTGACTCCAGATCTACTGTTCACCTGCAGACACTTGGTCTGGGTGGGGGTGGGGGGCGGTACTCGGTGAAAGGGGCTTGGCCTGGACAAGCGTTAGCCCTCCTCAGTGGAAGTGTGTTGTCTGGGCCTCAGTATTCTCATCTATAAAATGGGAAGAAAGGGGTTAGCCTACTTCCAGGGCTATGATTCAGATTAACATTTTCAGGTTTGTTATTTTTTTAAGTTAATTGGCAGTGGTGCTAAGTGCCTCACGGAATCTACAAAGCAGCCCCAAGTGGCAGGTATCATATCACCTTTCCAGAGATGGGGATAGAAGCTAAGAGAAAGCGAGAAGCTCGCCTGAGGTCCACAGCCTCAGAGTGGTCAGGTCAGGCTTCAAATCCAGATTTGCCCAAAACTCGGGAGTTTCAGGGCAGTACTGGCACCTTATTCTAGAGCAGAGATTCTCACGGGTACGAGGTATGCTTGATCTGCTCGTCGTCACATACTTTTATTTATTTTAACATTTCAGATAACATCAAAAGCAGGCATGAGACTTTTACATTTATGAAAAAGAGAGCAAAAAATTATATATTGCGAATGCATGCTCTAAATGTTTCTTCCACGGGCACACAAAGCAAGCTGTGAAAGTTAGTGCCGTTCCTGGGAAATGGGTGCTCCTAAATTGCGGTTGCCTCTAATTAAGAAGCCAGCATGTCACCCACATGGTTGTCCTCAGCCCTGGTCTCAATGTCTCTGACTTCCCTTCCCTTCCAAAGCCGCCTTTGATGTTTATTCTAATCTGATTTTACCTGAATAAACGGGTGGGGGAAGGGTGAGGGAGGGACACAGTGAGTCACCTCCTGCACCCCAGGCCCAGAATAGCCTTGCACAGGTTTTGAGCTGTAGTTACATGGAGCAAAAGAGGCAGGCTTCTGCTTGAGCACTTACTTTATTACAAGCTGTGGAAAATTTTCATTTTACTGGTTAAAAATAAGAACTTCCAAAATTCCTTGATATTGTATCTACTTTTAAACAATGTTCACAAGGGAAGCCTAGCCAGCTCCACTAATATGAACCTCTGCATGGGGAAAAGTGAGTCCAAATGTGGAAGCTGCTTCAAAAGAATCTGTTCCCCAGTATATTTTGGGAATCTCTGCACATCAGTTCCCCCCTTTTAATTGAGGATTTTTTTTAATACAACAAAGTTTTGAGAACTTTTTAGATCAAACCCTCCCATTTCCCCCTCACTTAGAATTGGTGTTTGTCAATATTTTGTTGTATTCCCTTCAAGTTTCTTTGTAACCAAAGAAGTAAAATTTTCTGGATGGAGTCGAGTTCTCACAACCCTTTGGTGCTCTGCAGCTTGCCTTTTTCACTCACCATTAAGTTCTCGAGACCTCTCCGTGGTAACGTTGCCGGAGCTGGTTCATTTCTTTTACCTGCTCCGTGCTGTGGGGCTCCCACACCACGATGGGGAATATCGCACCCCGCGATGGGAGGAGAAGCAGAAATGGGAACTCTCAGACACTGCCGGGGCACAGACAGCAGTGGTAAACCACTCTGGAGAGCAGTTTGACAGCAAACGCTGAACTGAAAACGCACCTGTAGGCCCAATGACCCAGCAGGTTCTTCACGTCCTAGACCTGGAGAGCTTCCTGTACGTGAGTTCGCAAGGGGATGAGCATGGAGGTGCAGTGCAGCACTGT